GACCCTGTTTATGACAAAAGATATAATTTATTGCACTGAGTTCCTGTTTCAATTATTATGTCATCTCGCGTATCGTTTTTTTACGACCATAATAACCAGTTTCGGTCAATACGAAAGTAGAAACCCTGAATATGACAGGAAGCTCAGGAAGAACTTGGAACTTGAGTGAAATTGCATACCCTGTTTATGACGAGAAGTTCGAAAAACCATACCCTGTTCAGCGGATCATCCCCGTATAGTCCATATATGGGAGTACCCCCCCCCCCATCCCCCCCCGGGGATGGTTCGCTTTTGGGACTCGATCGCGAGTCTCCTCTCTTATTTCTTACTGGTGGGGGAAAAAATCTTAAAACAGGCTAAATTCAAAAAATAATCACGCAGAGCGAAAGAAGTGCTATTTCTCAATGATCGGGTAAAATTTCGTGGCTTTATTTCACGTTCCAATGATTTTATTGAAATTTTTGATGAATCTCCATACATTTCCTTATAACAGGACACCACAGAAACCAAGCTTGGGCTACGTGTGTTAAAACGGGCTAAATTCAAAAAATAACCACACAGAGCGAAAGAAGTGCTATTTTTCAAAGATCGGGTAAAATTTCGAGGCTTTATTTCAAGTTTTAATGATTTTATTGACATTTTGTGATGAATACCCATACATTTCATTATAACATGACACCACAAAAACCAAGCTTGGGCTACATGTGCTCAGGGAAGCCACAACCGAAGGAAATATTAGAGATCATCTTTCTAAATATTTTATTTTCATTACAGCTTTAAAGTTCAAATTCTATTATTCAAGACTGAAAACATGACCTGAACGGCCTAAGATTTTAGATGGGAGGGGAGGGTGGGGTGGGATGGTAAGAATATTAAGCATAAAAAGTGTAAATGTCAGTCAACCAACGAGCTCAGCTTAATTGGGCAGAAAATTTTGACAAAAAATTACAATTGTCTACACGAAAAACTCAAGGAAGTTGTATTTTAGATAGTCATTTGTTACTTATTATTTTTCATTGATATTCTTGGGATTTTCATTTCTGTCACGCCGCTTGTTCTTTTAGGGCCTGTTTACATGGGAAAAGGGTGCCCCTAGGGGATAGGGTCACCCTACCTGGTGGGGCTGAAGATACCGAGCGTCTACATCATAATTTGCAACCCTAGGCCTAGGGTTAACCCTCTGTGTACAAGGAGGAAAGATCGGCTTCAAAGTCAATTCCTTTGAAGTCACAGTTGGACTTGTACTCTTTAACATAAGCCAAAAGRTCTTCTATCTTTTCGGGTGTCCAGGTAAACTTATTATTAATCTTTATTATATTGTAGGTTTCTAGTTTCTCAATTTTTTTCCTAAGGAAAACATAGTTTAACTAAACACTTTTAGGTTTGAATAGGGTATATGTCTTACTGTAAAAACGTATACCCAAAGAACCTTTTCATGCGGCAGCCATATTGGCAGCAGCTGATCTAGAGAAAATGTTAGCCAATCAGAAACGAGAAAATTGGTAAAACTGATTTTTTAAACGAATGAAGGGAGTAGCCGTAAAACATGAATGCTATTAGGTTGGGATCGACTTCCATATAATGACTGTTCCCTTAATTGATATCTCTTAGAGCCTTCTCTACTCCTTGTTTTATCCCAATTGTCATCTTTATTTCTTTCTTCACATCATCCCAGCTTGCTTTCAGGGTATCTACTGTTTTGATTTCTTCTTTCTCCAGTTGTTCAATGATGGCGGCAACTCTATCGCTGTTCCAGTCATATTTAACCTGAAGATGCTTGAAAAATTGCCTGACTGTTTTATTCACAGCACCTGGAAGAATGATACATAATTCCAACATTTATATCATGACGTCTGCGAGCTCACATAACTTGATTTTTTCTTATATATCCCAATTCACATTCTAGGTGTTATAAAAGTTTTTCTTCACATTTTGTCTTCGTTCGCAGCTTTGACTATATAATACTAGCTTTGACAAAACGTTTTCCCCTCTCTCCCTTCCTAGCTAGTTTAGTACTTAGTAATGTAATTTTATTTCGTTCCCGTGCATCTATGCGCGCCCGCGCGCGTTAATTTGGATCAGAACGAACATAGACAGAAATAAAAGTGATTCTAGTTCTGGACTAAACAGGGCTCAACTTACTTCCACTGCTCGCTCCTGCGCCCTCCGATCTCCCATGATGCATTTCCCGCAGCTTCTGAATCAGCACGAACCTCTCAGCAGAGAGTAGAGCGGTATCCAAGATATCCAAGACTTGTTTCTCGGTCTGTAGAGAGTAGACATTCTTCTGGCTGGTATAGTTAGTGATGAAGAAAGTCCTGTCTATTGGGCTCCCTGTGGCAGCAGAGGCTTCTTCGAAGGCAATTTCTCTGTCTTCGTCATTCTTGATTTTGTCTTCACACGTGATGACTGTGATGGGACTGTGGCCTACGGAGTAAATTGATAGTGTGTCAAGTCGTGCCTCATATGCCGTAAAAAAGTCCTACTATAAACTCGTATGTGTTTTCACATCATGCCACCCTTATATTAGTGAGGAGTGAGCGTAACGTGAAGACACTAAGAACGGATGCGGGGAGACTATCATCCTTCCAAATTTCTACATAATTTCCTAATTTCCTGAACTTTTCACATTTATTCCTATTGTAGCCCTTCTTACTTAGCCAGGCATTGAACACTTACGAATGTAAGCTGCAGTTCAACCTAAACCGCAGAAGCTTTACAGCACCGAGTAAGTCTGCGCATTTAAGATAGGGTGGAAGCTTGGGCCGGGAAACAACGATAGGAATATTGTACACGGTTCTGGAACAAAGAGCATCATGCAGTAAGCTAAACTTACCCTCAAACCTGAAGTGATCTCTAATCTTCTTCATTCTTTCCAGATACATCCCTTCCTTCAATCGTCTATCATGGGCCTGTATCACGAAAATCACAGCGTGGACTTGTTCTCCAAATTTAGCCACAGATCGAGCAGAAACATCAGCTCYCTCGCCAAGCTCCTCGGTGTCATGGTTACGCACAATGACGTCACTTTCTCGTGTCCTGTTTTATAAGATTGGGGCAACGTATAAGTTACACACACCGCACCATTAACCATTCCAAGCAGCTACACTAACATACTTACTTGCCGGTCATAATATTGAGGCATTCAGATGCAGTGTCGTTATTGATGTCCCAAAAACCTCTTGTATCCAGGAGGTTAATGTTTAATGCTGACAGAAACTCCTGCAGAAGCACTGTTCCCTCTTCACCAGCACCTTGTTCAAACGCTGTTTGGTTATGAGACCCCAGGAGGACCCTCTCTGCTGTGCCTAGAGGGGCGGGGGAAACGTTAATCAAATAATGGACTATTGTGTGTGACGTTAATGGAGGCGTGATTGTATATACGTATAGGTTTTTTTGAGGGATCTCATGATCACATGTCGCAGCTGGATTACATTATACTAGTAGATCAACATTTTCTGCAACAAGGTATGAATCCGGGAAATCTATCCACACATCGCGGAATTGCGATCAGAGGTACAAGGGAATTAAAGTTGCATCCGACAACGCATACGGGTGCGCGCAACAGTTTCAACATGTGTACTAGTCTTGCCCTATATACTACTATAAGGTGTTTTTTTTTTAAATTCTTACCAATGAAGCTTGTTTTTCCTGAGCCAGTAGGGCCAAACAGAGCAAACACGACTCTCTTCATATCACTGACGTCTAGTCCTTCACTTTCAAAGGTTTTCAGTGATAATTTATTGCCAAATTTGTACGTCAGGAGTTCCTGCTTCATCTTGATACAAGCAATCTTTTCTTTCTGTTCCTTTTCCTCCCTCAATCGTTCAGCCTTGAGCTCTTCTTCTCTTCTCTTTGCTTCTGCTCGACCGTGAGCGTCTCTCAGGTTTTGGAGTCTCACGTCTTCTAAAGCTGAGCTGAGCTCTCTTTCTTTCATCTGACGTAGTTCTTCCTCCATCTCCCTGACCTTTCTGTCATTTTCCTCTCTTGCTGCTCGTATTCCAAGTTGGCGTGCCCTAGGATCACTTCTGTCAACAGTTTCATAAACCTATACGAAATATGTCCCAAATATTAGAGGGCCTAGTACGCATTCCAAGGTCTAGAACATTTATTAAAAGGGTAACATGTGCCAAACAGCAATTCCTTCCTTCCCCCTTCCTTCCCTTTTTTCTTCGTTTTATCTTCTTCTTCGCAGTACACAATTCTCATCGGATTGAATCCTATGGTATGGAGATGGGGTAGGCCGAGAAAGACTCAACGAAGGTGAAGAGGGAAAAAGCGATGTACGGAGTAGAGTGCAAATAATATACCCGTGAAATAGATAGCTAGCTAACTAATTACTAACTTTGTGCTATTGGTTGCCTAAGTCTAATTAGTCAAAGAAATAGCCGAGCCGTGACGGGTAAACTAGTGCACGTGTGCTACTCAAGGGCGCGCATTTTAAATTATTTTTAAGCACGCTTGCAAAAACTGAAACAATATTTTATTGTACATGCTTTTCCTTCGTATAATTTGAATGTTCGCATTTTCGAATTCGTATCTGTTAAACGACAAGTGGAGCTTGATTCATGTTTTATGACTTGATATTCAGCTGATGACTGTATAGTGTTTAAGTCATTGCTTTTTCGTTCTTAAAGCTAAATTACAAACGACGATAGTTTTTCTTCATTAATTGTCCACACTGCGGGCAGAAGCAAAAGTGGCGTTCTACGAAGCTTAAACAAGTAGGGCTAATACGGTTCAAGCGAAATGGTTTTTGGACTGGCCAAAGCCAATACGCAGAAGACACTGGAGTACTGGAACACAACATGCACATTGGAGTAATTTATGCCTTTCTCGCCATTTCCAATGAACAAGTAAGAAGATTTTCTGGAAGATGTTGGCGAATTTATATTCAACTTGCTTTTTAACTTATCTAATCAATAACGATTTTGATGTTCTACAAATTTTAATTATAGAAAATATAAAGATAAAGCTATAGTTGTTTTAGCTATAGTTGTTTGAGTCTTGATTTGTTTTAGTTTATAAATGCGTATTGTCTTGATTTTTAGCAAGTTACTAAACAAATAAAAATGGTAGAAAACACGTTCATTTGCGTGCTGGGTCTTTTTTAGCTATAGTTGTTTGAGTCTTGATTTGTTTTAGTTTATAAGTGCGTATTGTCTTGATTTTTAGCAAGATACTAAACAAATAAAAATGGTAGAAAACACGTTTATTTGCATACTAGGTCTTTTTTAGCTATAGTTGTTTGAGTCTTGATTTGTTTTAGTTTATAAATGCATATTGTCTTGATCTTTAGCGTGATAAAACAAATAAAAATGGTAGAAGCCACGTTCATTTGCGTACTGGGTTTTTTGTGTCATGATTTACTGCAGAATTAAATGTGCGTCTTGTGTCTTGATTCTTAGCTCAATTCAATAAACTTGTTAGAAAAAACGTTCATTTGCGTAATGAGTTGTTACTCTAGTAAGCGCCCGTGCCCTTGTCATGCCTCACTGAATTCCTATGTGTTGTCTAATTAAGCGCTAACTATCTCCTATTTAATCCTAACTATTTCACGGATATATTATTTGCACTCTACCATATAGTCGGCTATTAACGTCAGCAACACGTCACGCCGTAACGTCACGCAAATCTTGTTTCACTTTCACTCTTAGTTTCCTGTTTGTCTTTGTTTGTTTACAATATTATATACAATACGTGGTAAAATACATGGTAGCTAAGAAACTACTTGACGATATCTACTCATTGCAGCCGAAATATTGGAGGCAAGCAAAACTGAAGGCTAAAGTACTAGTTTATTCAGTATCAACGAGATTTATAATATAGTTCTCCAGACTTGAAATAAAAATGTGTCGACAACCTGACCTCAAATAGTTGCGACTACATCGACTAACATGTGTATAAGAATATATATTTGTACTGCGGTTGTAATGTATCAAATTGAGCTGTTCCTCGCAGTAATATCAAGCAGCTTATGCAGCTGTAAATTGAAAAGACTCAGAACATATTCTGACATTCTGAAATTCTGAATTCACATCGATTAACACAAGTTTAAATAATATCCCAAACGTTCGCAATAATAAAGACCTTTAGATCCGACGATGAGCACGAGTGTTTAACGTTTAAAGAGAGGCACTATCAGTTTTTGTAGTCGTGATAGTGTACGTAGATTGAAACTTTAGATTGTAAAAAATCGGAAATCCACTATGATTCAGGGTCAACCACGTGCACAGGTCCAATTAAAACTCGTACTCGTACTCGTTGTCGGACCTAAAGGTCGCTAATATAACCTGAAACACTTACGATCTTTGAATCACTTCCACCCATGTTTGTCCTCTTGTCTTAAACGAAAGCAAAGAATCGATGGAACTTCACTAGATGCCAAGAACAAGAACACAACCTCACGGCCTCAGAATACAACTTGATTATTTATGCTAAGATATAGATATTCCTGGAACTAGTGATTCTTGGAAAAGTGATTCGGGGAAACCCCATGGTAAATTTCCCCAAACAACTGACACACTTCCGGGATCCACACTGCATAGTTCATCATCATTTTAAGATGCTATATTAAGCTGAAAAAAAGGCACAAGTCCTGCGCGCCTGAGTGGAATTTCATCGTTTTATAAAATATAGCTATATATGATATATTCATGGTGCTGTAAAGTGTTGGATTAGAGAACTTTGCGTTATGGTTTGAAAACGAAAGCTGTCAGCGAATCTATTTTTAGTAACGTCATTCTTTTCACTAAAAGCTGGACGCTGTACAGCTAGCAACGAATCAGCTGGTTTCTGCGACCCAGTACCAAAGAGTAGAATGACATCACCACTTTTGGTTCTCTGTGACATGCCTTTTGGAACTCCGTGACATGACTTTTGGAACTCTATACTCAAATCATGCATTCTATATAGCATACGTGCTTCGTATTGGACCAAATTAGAAAAAATATTGGGAAAAGCGGACTGTAGCTCAGACGTCCCTAGACGAGTCCCCTGTTACGTCATTAGCCATTCCGAGACTGAGAAAAAACTAGGCCGAGTTGGCATGGGATCGGGGTGCATATTGGGACTTTTTTAGGGGTCATATTCCAAGATGGTGTACATTTTATAAATTTTGAGCACCGTTCCCTTCTCTTTCTGTCTAAAAAAAAGAAAAAAATGTCTACAGTTCATTATAGCTACAAACCATGTTTTATTTTTTATTTAAGGCTACTTGAAAATTGAATTAATAAGAAAAACTAGTGTAAAATTACGACGTTTCGATGACATCTTGTGTCATCATCAGGTTCGAAGTGGAAAGAGTTATTTATTTATAAATATTTATATTGGCATGTTCACTGTTTTCACTTTATTTGATACAAACTAATGTCATCAAAACGTCTTAATTTTATATCACAGGTTTTTCTCATAAATTCATGTTTTATTTAAATAGTAATAATAGTAAGATAATTCATTATTTTATTTATTATTTATTATYTATTTATTTTTGTTAAAACATATTGACTCTCTGTGTTCTCTCCAGGAGCTAGGCTCATCGTGGGAGATTACACAATTATTATCATTATTACAACTTATTATTATTATTACTTGTCCGTGAATTTAAACTATTGCGGTCAGCACAATAAATTCGCTAGCTCATGGATTGCCGAGAAAAACTGAGAAAAAATTTGCCAATATTGCCAACCTCCCTCCACCCCCCTCAAAAATCTAATATTCCGTCCCTTAGTGTACGCCATTTTGCCTGCCTACTATTGATTGATGACGTCTAGTCTACCAAGACCAGACTTGGTCCTAATTATTCTTTCATGCATCCGCTGCGCGCTGGCCTAGAGTAGGCTGCAGCTGGGCTGTCTAGTTAAGAAAATATCTCTGGCATTTCTAGCTTTGCACTGTATTGGAAGCCATATTGTTACTTCATAAACATACAGAATTAAACCAATTGAAGAATGTCTCATGATCTTGTTTCTGTGAGCTGCAATGGATAAAATAAATACGTTCGTACTCAGTATTGTCTCATGTAGTTCATTTACATCTTGAATTTGTACGTGTTTTTGTTGAATTAATAGAGCGAAGTGTTCACGCGATCACTATCTGATGTTCTAGTGATCTGTCGTTTTGTCATTACTTTGCACTAGTTTTTACTTACTGACGTTTCGGACGCTAGTCCTTAGTCGGAGTATAAGAGAAAGAAGTGGTAGAAAGGAGTGTATATATGGTAGAATGAGACAAAAGAAACCAATGAGAACAAGGCAGGCAAAGAAACGAAAGAAATAATCAAGTGAGTGGGTTAGTTATAAGCAAAAAAGCGCTCATCAATACCGTTAGGACTAAGAGTGCCCAATAGATGAATAAGCCACATTTCTTTGGTCATGCGACAATTGTAATTGCCGTTAATCAAAGAAAGACCGAAAAACAATAAAGTCAGAAAGAGAATGGTTAGCTTGATTACTGTTTCATTAGAAACACCGACGCAGCTCACACTAGTTTTTGGCTAGTAATCGCGGATTTCAGTTTTAACTTACCGTTATTCAAGCGTTCTCTAATCAAATGCCAACGTCGCTGTTCCCGCAGCTTTTGAATCAGCACGAACCTCTCAGCAGAGAGTAGAGCGGTATCCAAGATATCCAAGACTTGTTTCTCGGTCTGTAGAGAGTAGACATTCTTCTGGCTGGTATAGTTAGTGATGAAGAAAGTCCTGTCTATTGGGCTCCCTGTGGCAGCAGAGGCTTCTTCGAAGGCAATTTCTCTGTCTTCGTCATTCTTGATTTTGTCTTCACACGTGATGACTGTGATGGGACTGTGGCCTACGGAGTAAATTGAATGCGCAGAATTGTAATTAAAAGCTATAACTTCATGTTTCTCTATTCTGATCAGATTTTAATTGCGCTCGAGAAAAGAAAATTGATCAAATAGCTGATGCGATGCAGTACATTGTTTTGCGCGCACCTTTGTTTTTCTCTACGATTCGAGTCCTCTATAGCCAACTATGTCGTAATTTGTACTAAATAATTTTAATTAACATTAATTTTAATTTTAAAATTAAAATGTTACAAATTGAGGACACCATTTTGACCTCGAATACCCAAACAAATGAATAAAAGCGACTTTCCCTGATGTTATTTCCACCTTTTACTTTTATCGAAGCATACGCAATTTGTCTTGGTGTAACGTTTTCCCATCACAGTACATACATAACACGTGCATGTCATTCTCAAGACCGTCATATATTAAAAAGTTGCCAGTGAGAAGACAGATGAATATGAAAAGTTAGATCTTTTGGGCTCCCTGTGTCTGAGCGTAACGATTAACAAACCTTGGATCCTAAGATATTCACGTATCCTCTCCAATCTTTTCTTGTAAATGCCTTCCTTAAGTCGCTTATCGTCAGCCCTCAGCATAAATATCACACCATGGACGCGATTTCCAAAGCATGCCATGTATCGAGAAGAAACATTAACGCCAGATTCATCTTCGTCATATTCACGAGCAATGAAATCCCCTTCTCGTGTCCTTAATAAATATTAAGTAAATATAAGACATAAAGGGCTAATCCAGGATCCTTAAGCGTGGGGTTCCAACTGATGGCTGCCACGCAGAAAGAGCTAGCGCGGTTGGCTTCACGATGGATCCAATTTCATTGTACCGATCGCAAGGAACCTGATCGGCTTAGACGTTTAGACCCCCACCATACATACAGCCCCTCATCTCTCCTACTTCAGCTGCAGCATATTAAGCTCCCTCCTCATCCCCCCTCACCCCTCCCCTCCTCCACCCCTTCCACTC